AGAGAAGAATTGAGAGAAGGAAGAGAGGAGAGAGGGGGAGAGGGGAGAGAAGGAAGAGGGGAAGGGCACATGGGGGGAGGAGAAAAGGAAGGAGAGGAGAAGGAAGGGGGGAGAGAGAAAAGGGAAGAGAGAGAGAGAGAGAGAGAGAGAGAGGGATAAGGGAGAGAAGGGGGGAAAAGGAAGGAGAGAGGGGCATAGGGGGAGGAGAGAGAGGGAAAGAGAGAGGGAAGGAGAAAAAGGGAATAGGGGGAGGGAGAGGGAAGAAGAGAGAGAGGCAAGGGAGGGAGAGAAGGAGGGAGGAGAGGAGAGGGAAGGGAGGAGGGGAAGGGGAGAGAGGAGGCATATAGGAAAAGAGAGAGAGAGAGAGAGAGGGTAGGGAGGAGAGGAGAGGGCATAGGAGAGAGAGGGGCATAGGGAGAGAGAGGGCATAGGAGAGAGAAGGGAGGAGAGAGGGATAGGGAAAGGGCATAGGGAGGGAGAGAGGGCATAGGAGAGAGAGAGGGCATAGGGAGAGAGAGGGGGCATAGGGAGAGAGAGAGGGCATAGGGGGGAGATGGGGGGAGAGAGGGGGCATAGGGCAGACGAGAGGGGGTCATAGGGAGAGAGAGGGGGAATCCTAGGAGAGAGGCGGGCATCGGGAGGAGAGAGGGCATAGGGGAGGAGGAGAGGGCATAGGGAGAAGAGAGAGGGCCATAGGGAAGAGGAGAGGGGGCCATAGGGAGAGAGAGGGGGTGCATAGGGGAGGAGAGGAGAGGGCCATAGGGGAGGAGGAGGGACATAGGAGAGAGGATGGGCCATAGGGGCGAGAGAGGGCATAGGGAGAGAGAGGGCACATAGGGAGAGATGAGCGAGAGAGAGAGGAAGGCATAAGGAGAGAGAGGGCATAGGGAGAGAGAGAGAGGAGAGAGGGGCATTGGGAGGAGAGAGAGAGGGCATAGAGAGCGAGAAGGCCCTAGAGAGGCGGAATGACCGAGGAGAGAGAAGAGCGCGAGAAGGCAATTAGGGAGAGGAGGAGAGCGAGAGAGAGAGAGAGAGGAAGGCATTAGAGAGGAGGAATGGCATAGAGAGGGAGAGCTGAGAGAAGGGCATAGGGAGAGAGAGAGAGAGAGAAGGCATAGGGAGAGAGAGAGAGAAGGCATAGAGAGATAGAAGGTATAGAGAGAGGGCATAGGGAGAGAGAGAGAGAGAGAGAGAGAGAGAGAGAGAGAGAAGGCATAGAGAGATAGAAGGTATAGAGAGAGAGAAGGCATAGAGAGAAAGAGAGACTATTTGCACATTGTTACAACACTGTATACAGTGAGGGAAAAAAGTATTTGATCCCCTGCTGATGTTGGACATTTGCCCACTGACAAAGACATGATCAGTCTATAATTTTAATGGTAGGTTTATTTGAACAGTGAGAGACAGAATAACAACAACAAAATCCAGAAAAATGCATGTCAAAAATGTTATAAATTGATTTGCATTTTAATAAGTGAAATAAGTATTTGACCCCTCTGCAAAACATGACTAAGTACTTGGTGGCAAAACCCTTGTTGGCAATCACAGAGGTCAGATGTTTCTTGTAGTTGGCCACCAGGTTTGCACACATCTCAGGAGGGATTTTGTCCCACTCCTCTTTGCAGATCTTCTCCAAGTCATTAAGGTTTCGAGGCTGACGTTTGGCAACTCGAACCTTCAGCTCCCTCCACAGATTTTCTATGGGATTAAGGTCTGGAGACTGGCTAGGCCACTCCAGGACCTTAATGTGCTTCTTCTTGAGCCACTCCTTTGTTGCTTTGGCCGTGTATTTTGGGTCATTGTCATGCTGGAATATCCATCCACGACCCATTTTCAATGCCCTGGCTGAGGGAAGGAGGTTCTCACCCAACATTTGACGGTATATGGCCCCGTCCATCGTCCCTTTGATGTGGTGAAGTTGTCCTGTCCCCTTAGCAGAAAAACATCCCCAAAGCATAATGTTTCCACCTCCATGTTTGACGGTGGGGATGGTGTTCTTGGGTCATAGGCAGCATTCCTCCTCCTACAAACACGGCGAGTTGAGTTGATGCCAAAGAGCTCCATTTTGGTCTCATCTGACCACAACACTTTGACCCAGTTCTCCTCTGAATCATTCAGATGTTCATTGGCAAACTTCAGACGGGCATGTACAGTGGGGAAAAAAAGTATTTAGTCAGCCACCAATTGTGCAAGTTCTCCCACTTAAAAAGATGAGAGAGGCCTGTAATTTTCATCATAGGTACACGTCAACTATGACAGACAAATTGAGGAAAGAAAATCCAGAAAATCACATTGTAGGATTTTTAATGAATTTATTTGCAAATTATGGTGGAAAATAAGTATTTGGTCACCTACA